GTTGATACTAAATATTAACACTGACTCAACTGTAAAACCCAAATGAGTAGAGTATTAACAATGAACAGCTCAAATAAAGTATTAGCTCACACTCTACACAGAGAGTACTGAACAATTCTTTCAAGGGCATTTTCAGGAGCAGCTAATTTTAGAGTCATCTCCCATGGTACTGGTGCAGTTGAAGGTGCCCCATCAGCACCTAGAGCAAAGACCTTAACTGCTGCCCCATATTCCAGAAAATACTGTAGAACCTCCACCAAATGGTTTTAACACATAGCACAAAAACATAACAATTATACAATTTCAGTTGACCAACTTAATATGGTGCAGACAAGGATCACTGCTGGTAATTCTTCTGAATAGCCAAAGCCAAAGCATCAGAATTATGACATAACTGTCTTTCTCCCATTGAGATTCCACACAAACCAACTCATAAAAACATGCATGCTGAAAACAGGCTTATAAATGAGTCACATCATAAAACCATACATGCCCTGTTTGCATAGCTGCAAGGCATATGCTGAAGGGTGGAGTAAGCACAAAGTAACAGCAAGCAAACTGAGGTATTTGCAGGGGGACCAAATAACTTACTAACCTGGTGGTGAGACGGATTTTGTCTCCACCTGCTCCTCCTTCTGATTCAATGCAGAACAGAGACGGTCAAGTCAACATTTGTGGCAATCAGGACGCAAAACCAAAGTATCACCAACAGTAGAATTTAATAAAGACAATAACAACAGAAAGTCAAAGTTTTTATAAATGAAAGTTGAAAAATATCTTGATGACATAAACAGCAGGTGCTTAGAGGCAGCAGGTTTACTGTACGAGAACAGAAGGCCTCTTACAGTACCTTCAAGTCAGCTTCACCCTTCCTAGTTCTCTTCATTATCTCCTCAATTCTCTGCAAAAATATATCAGTCACTTAGTCACTTTCCAGAATTCCAGAGTTGAAATGTTTTAAGTGCAACATATGATGCAAAAGGTGCTTGGATGGTCTTTCTTATTTCTGTTAAAAATCACCTTTTTTCTTAGTTGCCTCTCCTCGTCTTCGTGTTGCACCTGCAGCTCTCTATCTTGCCGCTGACGCTCTGCATCCTCTTGAGCTTTGAGTTTTTCTCTCTGTTAAAATTAATAAGAAATCTTTAACAGAAACTGTAAGATTCATCTGAAACTCACCATCAATCCAAATCCAATACATAAAGCATTAAGGCAAAAAATAAAAAAAACTGCCTGACATCTTAGAACGATCTCCAACCTCTTTATCTGTGTGACTCGGTAACTCCTTCTCCTGCTGCTGCTCCTTCCTCTGTTTGTCTTCGTGTTTCAGCCTGTGCGGATCTTCCTCATTCTTCCCCTTTTCCTTTGCTTGTTGAATCTTTGCCTCTTGCTGTTGCTGCTCCTGTGCGAGTTGCTTCCTTAGCTGCTCTTCCTTGGGTCTGATCGGCAGAGGTGTACACCCGTTATACACTCGCAGACAGGTGGATGTCATATTATATTTAATGCTAATTCATGATTTATTCAATGAACTCACCTTTCCTCTTCTTGTTGTTCCTGTTTCTTCTCCTCCAGTTCTTTCTGAGCTCGAGCCTGACGCCGACGCTCACCCAGCACCCTAGTAGCCTCCTCTGCATTTGTTGTGCCAGCTGCCACGTTCCCTGTGGACACGTGTGGTGCTGGCTCTGTCACACAGAGACAGACTGGTGTAAAACCATCCAAATATACCACAACCGAATGCTGAGTAAGGTAATCTAAATAAAGGCCACCTGTTTTCTTGTCTCCGTTGGGAGCGTTGCTCTGCATCTTCTTCTCTGAGGAATTCATTTTGGGTGACATGTCGTTCTTTCTGTCAGGGGACTGCTTTGTTTCAGATGTGTCGCCTTTGAGATGCTTGCTAAAAGCTTCACCCTTTGATGATTTTGTTTCAGTGCTGTCAACACTGACCACATTCTTCTCAGCTTGTGAAGATGGATTTGTGCTGTTAATGTTGGCATTCTTTTTAACTGTGGTCTCAGCTTTGGATTGTTCACTGTGTTTTTCCACCTTCTTGTCAGCACTTGCCAGGTTTGGATGAGGTCTTGTAGGAGAGTAATGGTAGTGATGTGCATTGTTTGGAGACTGGGCACGCACCTTAGATGCCAGCCTGCACAGATAGATATGAGTGGTTTAAGAATTAAGTGCTTCATGATAGGAAAGAAATTTAAAAATGTGCAGACTATGGTCCCGGCTGACAGCCACGTGTGCCCACCAAACAAATACAGTAATCTTACTTGGATGTTGTTGGGGAAACCAAGTGCTTGGTGACACTAGCGGGGGATTCTGATCTTCTAATAGGAGATCCATAACCTGGGGATGCAGTTCTCTCTCTGCGCAGCCGCTCTTTCTATAAGTAGTGGGTTTAAGATATAGAATAACGCGCATAATATCCATTATTATTTTTCTTAAAGGTGTTGTGTAAGTATGTAAATTTGCAGCATATAAGGATGTATGAGATCTGACCTTGGGGGTATTGGGCGTGGACTGAGAGCCTCCCTGAAGTCCAACTCTGCTGTGATCTGCAGGATTCAGTGAGCCGCAGAAAGGCAACCTGTGAGGGCTGCAGGGCGCTACATGATGACAGACATGATAACAAATCAAATGATGACAAATAACCAGTGATAGGGGAGAGCAATATTTCTTAGACAGTGTGTGCTGCATTCACTCGAAGCTTGTAGACTCATTTTTAAAGTCAACTGGCATTGAAATACAAATTAACTTGGGTGGGTGGGGGGCTCTATGTGTCAACTACTAGTATGACTGATTCAGCCATCAGTCAGAAATAATGGGACAATGGGAGATGTCGTTGTTTGTTATTTTTAGAAATGAATCCCTGAGTCTGTATGCTACTATGCAGTATGATGGCAAGTGCACACATGCCAGCATAGTGCCTACAAATACGATCATCCCAAACCCAATTCCCAGCATTGGTCTTCTTGCTCCACCCAAAACATTGACAGCAAATGGAAACACGTACAGATCTTATGCAAACTCACATTCATAAAAGCAAAGACCACAAACATGGAGCACATCATACAACACTAGAAGCAGTCATATCGTCCTCTCTTGTAATTTCTCATCCATCTGTCATCATAAATCTGTAGAAGCATAATCTCTACAAAGTGCAGCCGTCTGTGGGAAATAAGCATCCCTGTGTCTATTTTAGTGCACATATTTCTCTTCTAGGTCATGTGCGATTAGGGACCCGGAGCCAGCATCACTTAGCTGCTTTCATTCTGAAACCCTAGTCCCAGGTAATCAAAACAAAAATGAAACAGATACTCCTCTAACACACTGACAAACTGTGGCAGCAATTCCTCTTGTGTTGAAGACTGCTGACATTTTCAAGTCTGAGCCAGTGTCCTTATGCATGTTTGTAATTACTGTGAGGTTACTAATCTGAGGCAGCTCATCCTCAAGGTGACTTATGGCAAAATTTAAGAGAATTACACTTACTGAAAGCATGTGTATGAGTCTATGAACTAGCTGATGGTGGTGCATATTCATTGTCCTTTTTTCCTGCATGCATGCTCTATTTTTCTGAAGTCTGCCTCCACACTATTGTGCCTCCAGGCAGTCTTTTTTATGACAATAACTCAACAATAAAAGCCAATGCAGCAGAGAACAAACACACAGCAGACATACTGAAGTCATACAGTACATATGGAAGTACATACAGATTACTTTACAATGGTACAGTATTTCTCATTAACATGCATGCATGTAATGCATCACAGAAAGGGAACACATTTGCCTTTGGTTTAAGTGTCAGCCTGTCCAAAGGCAAACCGACATAAATATGGTAACTGGCATGAACTGTTTGGTAACTGGCAGTGGGGGCTTAACTTTACCAGATTCGCTGACAGCAGGAAGGGGGGAAGCAATGCCATGGGAAAAGACGGAGGCAGCAGAGAAAGGGAGTGCGGTATTCTCACTGTCACCTATAGGCAGCGGGCGGAGCAGAGCAGACAGAGCATTATGAACAGTTTATCTGAGCAATTTCTCATCCAGCTATAGAGACCTGGATGGCAGTCTACATCCCAGCAGGGGTGCCGTGATGTAACGTCATTTGTTTGGTCTGATTAAAAGCCACAATGTTATATTTTTTAACATTTCTGACTGCGGCGATGCACCAGTGCTGATATAAAAAAAGAAAAAGGCACTGTTGCAGACAACAATGTGCTATGTTATTTGAACATCTCCATCATTCCAATCATCATTTTAACATGTAGTTTAATGCTACATAGACACTGGTGCTGATGTGTAACTCGATCCTGTCTCTGTGAGAAACCAAAAACACATTTCTACTCATGCGTACCTCAGCTGCCAGGATATTGACAATGATAAGGGCAAAAGAAAAGCACTGTTTAACACAAAAACACACACAGACCTGTAATAAACACACGTAAACACACTCTTTGTGTAATGGTATCTCACAGAAATACAGCAAAATGCAATCCTTTTGAAGAAAAAACATTTTTCTTCCATATCCTCTTTTAGATCATTCACACATCTTTATTTCCCATGCTTGTCATGCTTCTCGTATCCTGTACAATCCCTGTTTGCATATGTAAGCTCTGTTTTTACCTGCTCCTGTAGGGCAGCCCCTGCTCCAGCGTTTGCTCCTCTGCTCCAGCTGGAGGCTTCGCTCCAGAGAGCGTTTCATCAGGGCCTCCAGACGCTCCTGAACGCAACACAGCCGAGTGGACTTTTTATTCAAACACCTCATCGCTGGCTTTGTTTCTTTGTACTACCATATACTGCATACAATATGCCAAGGTCCAGTGTGAGATTTTTAATGTATTTTGAGGCTTTAACATAGGTTCTTGATTCTTTGAAGACTTTGTTCACAAATGTCGTATTTGTCAGTCACCATTGATAACTTTTAAAAACTATACTGCACATGTCCTCAAGAACTTATAGTACATGAAGAGTCACAATCTGAAAGCACCACTGATCCCTGCAATCGTACACAAAGGAGACAAGACATTTTTTAAATCAGCTGACCCTCTCTTCTTCGAGCTGCTGCCTCCTCTTCTCCTCTACCGCAGCCCTGCGGAGCTCCTCTTTCTGCCTCTGCTCCTCCAGCCGCCTCCAGCGTTCCTCCACTGTGCGTTCATACTGCAGCTGAGCTCTGCGCTCCTTCTCCCTGATCAGTTGCTCCCTGGCTGCTAAAAGAGGCAAGATTTTTGTTGGTCTTGAAAGCTTCACTATATACCACACTAGAATTAAAAAACTTTTACCCTTTTGAGCAACACAGTTTAATCTCTATTTGAAAGTTTATTTATAAGAGAGTGCTTTTATTGTTTTCTCAAAAAATGTGTCGTCATAATGTAAACTCTTATCTCTAACAGTGAACATGATTCTGTCTCTCAATACACATCCAAGACTAAATCATGAACATAGAAAGCCTTGTCGTCATAAGCCAACAACAGGAGCTACAGTACTAACTGTGAGTGTGAGACCTACTTTTGTGGAGTGTCTGTGTTACTGTTACATTCTCTGACAAAACTGATCATATCAGGGACTCAGTGAACTCAAAATGAATCCTCCACTGGCTAGCAATGCCTTTCCTCCAATTAAACTGTGAGAAGTATCATGACGTTGCAGGGAAACTGCACAGGAACAGGAACCTACAGACATTTCAGAGCTTCTCATTTGACAAAATCAGCTCCTTTATTTGCACTTGTGCCAGAAAACAGGTCAACACCTACCCAGGCTTCTCTCTCTCTCCTCACGTCTCTCTTTGGCTAATCGCATCCTGTCGTCTGTCTTCGTATAACCCTCCACAACTGAAATGAATGATGTCAGTGAACCAAAAGGGTAGTGGTGATGCAGTCAAATTAAAGGAGAGAGTAAAAGAAGCAAACAGTGAGACTTACTTTGTTTACCTGCATGGTTGTTACTCGTGTTAGCTGCTAAGTGTGAAGGGGATGCGTGTCCGTTTATGTGTGGCTTCTTCTCTGTGGTAGATGGAGCTGGAATCAACATGACAGAGGGAGAGAGAGCACACTCAGCTTTGTCTAATAACATCAGCAATAACATTGGCACCACAGTGCTGAGCTGCAGTGCTGCTTTGTTACCAGCAGAGGGAAACATGTTTTCAGTTCTGTGTTAAATGCAGTGTTGCAAAATGCCAAGTAGCCCCATGCCAAGAGCAAACTGCAGCAATAGGCAGGAGAGAGGTGGAAACTGTCCTTGATATGATACTTAATCCACACATGCTGAATGTCAGTTTTGGATATTGTTGTCCTGCCATCACTGATAATAGAGCAGTCCTGAAACACATATTTCTATATAGACCTACATTCTATAATGATTGAATCATCCAGATTAAACCACTTGGAAAGAAAGTGAATTATGTGACAGGAGCCAGAGTGGATTACTCACAATTTTTTCCAATTTGGGCTGGAGAGCTGTGACCGTTTGTCGGAGATTTCTCGTCAGGAAGCAGAGTGACAGACTGCGACGCCATCTTTTCACCTAATGCACAAAACAAAAGAATAATATCTGAATAGTGAGCTCTTATTGTCACATCACAAATCACAATGGTTATAAATGAAGAACCTTGTTAGTAACAGCCCTAAAAACTATAGTAAAATGTATTTGTGTGTGGGAGATGTGTGAATGACTGTTCACAGTTCACAGATGAGCGACACATCACACATTACATATTGAAATCAGTCTGTGATAAACCTCAGAGACAAACTGGCACATAAATTAAAGTAAATTTTGAAAATGTGAAACTTGTTTATGGCTGTTATATGCTAATATTAGGCAGATATAGTCAAATGGCTTAAATAAACAAATTAAATTCAAATAACATGAATCTATTATAGTGAGAGATGACAGTGGTCCCCAGATGACTACATCTACTGTAAACCTTGACACAGTGAAAGAGCTCTTGTGAGCTACAGAGTACAAAGCTTAAGTCCACAAATTCACTGAATGAATATGTGCACAATCAGCTGCCAGCACAAAGTCAGTTACTTTACTTGATACAGTGAATTACCCTTTTTCAGTCAGGCCTTTTACTGTGTACTAAAATCTGGCTCTCAAATGTGGATTGGCAGACAGGAGAGCTGCCGCTGAGTTGACTTAATTAAACATATTACTGTACTCATTCGTCATCATCAGCGTGTACATGATAACACTTTATTGATTTCTTCAGGGGCCACATGCGTAGGCTGTCTCTATTGCTTCGGGTTGTATTTACTGTGGCCTTTATGGCTTTGAGAGGAAGAGGCTCCCACTCACCTTATTCTTCAACATAAAACATGCTATTGTAGAAACACAAGCAAAATTGTGTGTAAAACAGGCTGTCATAGAGATGAAAAAGAAGGGTTTTTTTTGGTGCAGCATTTCTCTTAAAGTAGGTCTTCAAGTTCTGACTCTGCTACAGTATTTCTACTACTGTATCCAGTAGTCCTAGTCACTCATCGACTATGGAAATTTGATTACTGACCTTTAGGGAGATTCACCTTCTTTTAGGGTGTGATGGGTGAAAACTCTAACAAAGTGAAACGGTAATCTTCATCTTGCTAGAAAAGCAGCCACAAAAACATCACACATCGACCTTTTGCTATTAAAATGATACAGTATTCACGTGTATGTTGAAGGCATCTGGTCTTCCTCTCTCCACCCATCTCAACCTTTTATCCGACTGAGTGGCGTCATCAGCCAATAAAATAAAATAAAATGGTTTAAATGTCAAGTAACCATTTAGTCCGTAAGATGATATCTAGGCCTGTATAGGGAATGTAGATCACACACTCATAGAAACACACAACAAGGCGATGTTTTGCCTACTTTCTCTTGTGATAAAAACCATAGTGATTTGGCTTTAATGTAGGAACTAAAAGGTCTCTCTGTAGGCCTGTTATGGAACATGCATCCTAAAATACTGGCGTTTTGGTGACAACCAGCACAGTTTTGTGTGACGAATGAACAAAAACACTGAAACCGGATCTGCACAGACTACATCATCCACACAAAGCATTGGAAATGTCAGCATGCGTCATTCACCAGTCTGCTTTAAATCGTGGCGCAAACACAACAAGATCCAAAAGCATGATCCCAGTTTAACAAACCTTACATCGAGCTCACCTGTTATTGCACTGGATGATGCAAGTGTTTTGGCCATGGTAGCTGTCACAAGCAGAACACACCCGAATGAATGGACGAGCAGTCCCCCAAACACTCTGCGGTGATGCCAATGCAGCAGAGGTAGCTACACGGTTCTCTCCACCTCAATACGCGCAGCCACAGCGGACAATAACGAGCCGACGCCACTCAACTAATGCATAGCCCATAGGTCATTATGAAAGCTGTAGATCATGGGCAGCACTTGCAGATGGAGGATAGAGATGCTGGGACTGGAGCGGAGATGATGATGCACACACACACACACACACACAATCGAGCTACCGACCACACTGTGTGTCGCAGCGTAAGCCCGCCCTGATCACCAGATAGAATCACCGAGAGGAGGATGGATGAGATTTCCTGTCAGCACACAGCTCATCCAGGTCCAAACCCAACTGAGCACAAGATCGTGTCTGCAAACCGCAAATGAACGAGGCAGATGTCTCGAACTGTATTATTCCACAAGAGGTTAGCCATAGACACCCCTATCACAACATGTTCAGAGGCTTGCAAAAATGCAGTCAAATTGGGATTGTATATATGGCCTAGCATTAGCCTCTGTTTTGAGACTTCAGTTGAATGTTTAAAAAATCATTCCACTCACTCTTAAATCTAACCTTTACATCTCTTGTAAAAAGAGACTTTCAACAATTTTGTTTATATATTTTTAAACATCAATATGCGCCACGAATGAAAAACATTCGTGAGTTGAACAAATAGGGATCGTGATTTATATACTATGGAACAGTAACATAGGCCTATCTGACCATGGTAAACAGTGGTGATGGAGGGACAGGCCCCTCCTCGGGTTACACAATCAGAGAATATGCTGTAATACCTGCTGGGATTTTCATAGATAGATAGATAGATAGACAGACAGACAGATAAATGGTGGCAGCAGCACTTGCGCTGCCGTTATTGAAGACAGAGAAGAAGAGTGAGCGGAGGCGGAAGTGCAGAATCTCACTAAAGGACGGACCTGTGGGAGTATTGGCTGTGCTGAGCTAACGTAGGAAAGATGCTGACCAACATTTCTAATGTGCTGAGAGCTTGCGTTCAGAGAAACGTAAGTAGACGGAATTTAAACTATGGACTGTCTTAGCTAAACACCGCATTACAGTCGCCTTTTAAAACCTCGAATATTTACCCAAAACGAGACTGTCATCCCTGTTCTGACCTTGTAAGGCCGAATGATAGCTGGCTTGGCTAACACAAGCCCGCACATAATGTGAGCTCTTTATGATAGCTTCAGCTTGTGGGTCAGAAAAGAGAGGTCCTTTAAATATTCCCTAATTTTTGCGTCGTTTTAGTCATTTTTTAAATTATGGAGTCGGGCGGTGTTTGCACAGTGGTGCTGTTTTCTGAAAACTGACAGCGACCATTAGTAACCAAAAACACAAGACCGATCAGTTTGTCAACACGGATGGAAATGGCAAAACCTTGAAAATATATGCTAAGTTACCTTTTAGCATCTGCAAAACAAAATTCCCTAAAAAGGCTTTTCCAAAACGTGTTGACTAGCTAATGCTTGTAGTACTTTGATAGCTATATCCTACATAAAACAAGTTCAAAGCACTTTAATTAATTACACATGTTTTATCAGAGCTCTAGCTGGGAGGGCCTTGAGGATTTACATGGAATGAAGTAAATTTATTCTTGAATTAACTATAGTGGGATTTATCACAGTGAATGAATGAATAGCAGTAAGAGTCTGCTGCCCAGTATTTGTCTCTTGAGCTAATGTTTCACAAAAAAAAAGAAATAACTTTGAAGGCAGTTTCTTTAATAGATGCTGTTATTCAATGCTGTTCTGGGTGTTGTCATTTGGTGAGATGTTGACGTTTTGCAAAGCAGTGTTCATTTCACCTCTGCTGGTTACTTAAACACTGTCTCATTAACCATTCACACATTTTGGGGTCAAGGTATCAAGCCTAAGGACTCTTTTCAAATATTAAAAGCTGTCAAGTACTGCCAAATGCCTGGTCAGACTTATAGCCTTGTTTACTTAGTTTGATCACATGTTTCCAGAATTAAATCAATATTATGGCAATTTTCTACAGTTTTATTTAGACAAAGTTTTCTTACAGTTGCTTCTGTTTAGACATTTAATGAGAACCACTGGCTTAAACAAAAAAAAGAGGATTTGTAGAAAAGCATTTTTTAAATAAAAGAAGTATTGTTTTGGTATTGGCACAGAAACTTGGGTGGGTGTTGTAATGGCTGTAGTTTTGAAACATTTCAAACTGTTCTTATCTGTTGTCTCCCCCTTCTCTCCACCAGCAGGTAGCTACAGTCCTCATATCAGCACGAACATATGCTGACTTCACCACCGAGGCTACCTTTGAAATAAAAGTAAGTCTCATACAGAGGAGCATTTTCCACTAAACTGATCAATGCATGTGGCAGGTTGTGTGCTAGTTTAAATATTGTCATCTCTCTAGAAATGTGACGTCCACAAGCTGGATGAGGCCCCTGCCACCCAGGTGGTTTTGACTCGTGATGAGGGGCTGCAGTATTACCGCATCATGCAGACCATAAGGCGTATGGAGCTGAAGGCAGATCAGCTGTATAAGCAGAAGATCATCAGAGGATTCTGCCACTTATATGACGGCCAGGTTGAGTGCACCATTATTCTTCTTTCTACTGTAAAAATATAGGAAGAGTCTTATTTCAGTGTTATAGTAATGGTTTACAGTATGTTCTCTGCTCTTATAAGAAAATTTTATGGCATCAAGATTTGCTTTCATATATAGTATATATGTATATAATACTGACAGTTATTTAAAATTTACACTGATAGAAAAGCATTTTTAAGATATTGATATAATACATTTCTTAAACCATCCCCTCTTTGCTGTGTGGATTTAAGCCCCTTTTCCATCGCCTGGTACCGGCTCAACTCAACTCTGCTTGTTTGTGGTACTGGGTGCTTGGTTTTCCACTGCAGATGGTCCCCTCTCAGTGTAGCTGGCTGTCATAGAGACACCGCATTACACTGCCATGATGTCATCAGGAACTGACACAGTAACAATGTCTCGGTATGTGGCTGTTTTTACTTAGTACAGTAACTACAGTAAAATAGCGGATAGGGTTAAATAACATTGCTTTTAAAAATGGCGCTTTGTTTGAGGACATCTCACACGTTGATGACATGATTTCTCTGACCAATCGCTAGTCTGTAGTGTTTACACATCATCATTTGGTATCACCTCTGCTGTCTGAGAACCTCAACGGAGGTGATCTCAAAAATAGTACCAGTTACCATCCCCAACATTTGACTGATGGGAACACAAATAAGGCAAGTCGAGTCAGGTTGAACCAGTACCAGGTGGTGGAAAAGGGGCTTTACAGTCTTGAATTTTTTCAAATACACCTCCATGTGTGGCATGTCTTGCTATTTGTTGTCTCCCCTCAGGAGGCTTGTGCTGTTGGCATTGAAGCAGCAATTAATCTGACGGATCACTTGATCACTGCATACCGTGCCCACGGCTACACTTACACCAGAGGAGGGACTGTGAAGCAAATCATGGCAGAGCTCACTGGTGAGTCTGCAATGCTTAGAAAAAAAAATCAGAGGCATTTTATAATCAACAGATAATTCTAAGGTTCAGTGATCATTGATTTTAATCCACAAATTGTTTTGAACTTGTACCTCAGCATTCTTCTCCTTTCATGTTTTCTGTATTTAATATACAGGCAGAAGAGGAGGCATTGCAAAGGGCAAAGGAGGCTCTATGCACATGTACTGTAAAAACTTTTACGGAGGAAATGGAATTGTCGGAGCTCAGGTACAGATGGTTCAGTCATCTAAGCTGTTTTAGAAAGTGATAATCTGATTTACATGTTGTGAATGCAGTGTAAACCTAAATCTACAAGTAGTACATTACAATGTCAATTTAGTAAGTCTTATAAGGACTGGACACAGGTGTAATTGGTGGGTGTGTTATCAGTACGGTGACACTGATCATGAACGCAGCTGGTGCTCTACAACCCCAAATCAGAAAAAGTTGGGATGGTATCTAAAATCAAAATTAAAACTGAAGTGGTTTCTAAATCATGTGTATCATCCTGTATCACATTGAAAACAATACAGCAGCACATTATTTGATGTGATGCCTCATCAGTTTTATTCTTTGTTCAAAATAAACACTCCCATTAATCCTGCAGCAATTGTTTGCCATAGTTTGTTAGCTGGACTAACCTAGGAAGGCATCCTAGAGAAACAGGAGCCAAAACTTCATTTTCTTGCTTTGCATCAACTCGTAAATCACAACCCGGGGATGGCCATTAGGGTCAGATTACAAAAACAGGCAAGTCACATGAAATGATAATGTGGCTTTCTACAAAAAGGGATTTATTCATATAAGTAATATCCATCCCGGTTATTGTGTATGTGTTGCGACACATCTCATTGTTTAAATGAAGGGTGTATATGTTACGATCAATGTAATACAATTTCAGACATCTCTGAATTCTCCTCAGGTCCCCCTGGGTGCTGGTGTGGCTCTAGCCTGCAAATATCAGGGCAAAAACGAGCTGTGTGTCTGTCTCTATGGTGATGGTGCTGCCAACCAGGTATGACAAATAATTCATACTGTCCCTACATTACATGTCTTCAAAAATGCAGAAAACTGTACTGATTCTAGTACTACCTCCTGAGGGGTGCTGAAATTTAGCTCCCAGAATGCACTTCCAAATTGGGCTTTGTGTAATGGAAACAAATGCAGAACCCGAGTGCGACATGTTTCAGTTCCTATAATGTCAAAACCCCTGAAGATATTGGACTGGCAACTACTAAATGCATTACACTGAACATATGTTTTAGACCAGCCATGTATTTTTGGATAAGTTGAACAGTGTCTACTTTTGTGCCAGAGCTGTTGCTGATCTTAACTGCTCACTACAAACACAACACAGGGACATAACATTTGATGAAAGGAGAGGAAATACAATTCCTCAAACTACATTAAGATAAAATATGACACTTTCTAACCAGTCTATGTAAACAGACTAATCTGGTTTGTTATGTACCTCTAATTTAAAACAACAAGTTTTTTTTGGGGGGGGGGGGGGGAAAAATGCTCTATGTTCTTCACAGGGTCAGATCTTTGAAACCTACAATATGGCAGCACTTTGGAAGCTGCCTGTCATCTTCATCTGTGAGAACAACAGGTATGGCATGGGCACATCAGTGGAGCGAGCTGCAGCCAGCACAGATTACTACAAGAGGGGAGAATTCATTCCTGGTCTCAGGGTACTGTATTTTCTTTTTAAATAGAAGAAACCAACCACATAACAGAATGTATGTTGTTTCTTTATTTTTGCACAGCACTGTTTTAATTTTTCAATTTGAACGAGGTATATGTGGTGATAGTATCACTTTGTTAGTGTGTATGTATACGGTAGCCTTCAACTTATTCAGCAAGAGGGTTTGTTTGTGAGTATTGTTCACCTTTTGATGTTCATATGATCAGTTTAGTGCGAGTTTCTGTGATGTATGTTCTGAAATAGGCACAGAGTAAGTCAGTGAAATATGGCATATTGTTTGTGTGTCCAGTTGGACGGGATGGATTTTCTGTGTGTTCGGGAAGCAACCAGGTTTGCAGCTGATCACTGCCGATCTGGAAAGGTAAGTTAAAACAGTGAGTTATAGTAATCAGGAAATGTGGTTGTTGTTTTCCAAGCTAAATGATTTTTGTCCACCTTCTCATCAGGGTCCCATTCTCATGGAACTGCAGACTTACCGCTATCATGGCCACAGTATGAGTGATCCTGGTATCAGGTAATTGGTGACAGTTCTTGGACTCTTTGTAATTGAATGTCAGGTTTTTACAATGGATTGCTATTACTCTTTATCTTTAAATCAATAATAATCTGACCTTCAAATGTTATCCTCATTGTACTGCTGCCTTTTGTTTTGACCACCTCTCCCAACAGTGTTCATGCACTCTTCTTCCCACTGTAGCATCCTTGCAGTACCCTGAGCTCAGCCTAGGGATGGACTGAACACAGACACTAATATTGGTGTTGGCTTTGACAGATTGTTAGGTTTAAAGTGATTCAGAGGAATTTTTGATAAATATAAACACACCAAAAATCAAAGCACTGTTACTTAATGTTTGTTATACTGATAAACAAATGTTAACTCTAACAGAATTATTACAGTTTTGCATAATGACCCCAGATCAGTTATCTTCATATTAATGCAGCTCAGTAAAAGAAATATAATGCTGACAATTAAGAATGTTCGATACAGTACGTTAGGATTTGGTGTCAGCTATAAAAATGCTTGTATTAGTGTATCTCTACAACCTCTCTGTGCCAATCTCTCCCCTCTCAGCTACCGTACACGTGAGGAGATCCAGGAGGTCCGCAGTAAGAGTGACCCCATCTCCCTGCTAAAGGACCGCATGCTCAGCAACAACATGGCCAGTGTGGAGGAGCTCAAGGTAGCAAATACTTTCAGTTTGTAAAATAAAAATGCTGCAATGGCAAATTATCCACTTAAACAATTACTCTTTCTATTACATTCTTAGGAATTTATAAAATTCTTTTTACATTGAAGTTTTTTTTTTTAGGTCAGTGGTAACTTCATTTATCCCCAAGGGGCAATTGGCCGTGCAACCAGTAGCACACACACATTCATTGTCATACCACCGTATAAAAACATAAAACATGCACAAAAACCCCTCTCATCCTACCTGAACAAATGCCAGTAATGGTAAATAAGTTATATTGTCATAATGCACTATTTAAAAAGACGATGGCAGTTGGGATAAAAGCATCTTGGTAGGCAGAACAAACACAAGTGTATTAATCCAAAGTCCCACTAGAGAATATAACAAGTTTATGACTGAGTTTTGTTTAAAAGAAATGGGCAACATTGTTTTTTCTGCAGTCCTCTGTTCATTTTAGGGATATTGCTCACACACAAATTTTCAGTGTGCTGTTAAAGCACAATAAACACTTTCCAGTAGCTTCATCTCCCATTGTGAGCCTAAGTGGACTCGCCACAGCACAAATACTGTAGATGATGAGCTGGCCTCAGGCAAATGGAGGACTCTCCTAGTTTTATGTCTGCTGTATAAGTATACATGCACACATACCCACATGTGCACGTATACACTCCTTCGAGGCAGTGGAAACAAATGTCGAACCCATGATGAGTGTTACATGTGTGCACTTGCACATATCATAATTCTCTGTGTTGTCTCTATAGGACATTGATGTGGAGGTGAGGAAGGAAATAGAAGATGCGGCTCAGTTTGCCACTACAGATCCTGAACCCCCACTGGAAGAACTGTGCAACCACATCTTTTACAACAACCCACCAATTGAGGTGCGAGGCACAAATCCATGGTCAAAGCTCAAATCTGTTAGCTAAACATTTTCATCCCCCCCCTTTTTTTAAAATCCTTGCATCCATCCCCTGCTGCACCTCACATGTACACTAACAATGTCATATATTATAAAGTAGTGCCTCACGCTTAGAATTGAATCCATCAACAAGTAAACAGTTTTCAGTGCTGTACATTTTTACAACAGGGCCTGTACTTGCAATGATATTTGGAGAATTAAATTAACAAAGACAGAGAAGAACAGAATGATTAGCTCTGTTTTCATGTTTGTGCTAATTGAGCTATTAGTGCTTCTTCATGAAGTTCTGTCCCATATTTATATTTTTCATGAGAATGTTGAGCCAACTGAGTGTTTTATGTTTAGTACCTAAAATCACTTTCTTGATGTTGGTGAACGTTCATGAACCAAATGTATAAATTAATACTTCGGATTGATTTTTCTGTTTTGTTTTAAGGTAAAGAAGTTACTGTATTTAAGACACATCAGTTCTCTTAATATTAAGCATTTAGCATTTTTAACTTAAGGAGGTTTTGTAAACTGGCCCCAGATGAATTTATTTAACAGATTCAAAATTTTTGTGTTTGATGTTTGTGGGTAATTTTTGAGGTGTGGTTAAGAAAATGTCCATCTATCACTGTTTGTCTCATAAAAAGACTGTCCAACCTATTAAACAAAGGCTTTGTGCTCTTTATACTTGACAGTGTACCTGATGAATATCTGTTTGAGTTCTTGTCTTTTTATTTAGCCCTTGTTACAAAGACATAAGGCAGCAGATGGCACTGTTAATGGCTCCACATTTATTCTATGTAAGAAAAAGTAAAGAATACCATGGGAACGGTTGGTAATACTTTGATCAGTGTTCCCAAACCAACCAGTCTTCCCAAGCCTGTTGTTTAGAGGATGCTCACCAAGCTGAGCAGGTGATTGTACGCATCTGAAACTCAGATGTATGAGGACAAAATGGAGTTTCTCTATGTTCTTATTTGGAGCGACTCAATTTGTGATGTACTATTGCAATTATATTTAATTAGGTAATTATTGGCACTCAGTTACCACAAGCTTAACCAGCAGTGGATATAAACATGAGTGCATGTATCAGCCTAGCTTCACTTTAAATTTCCAAATCTAAACAGGATGGGAGGTTGGATGATAAAGCAGTGCATCTTTAACTTCACATGAGTCTCAATCAGATGGTGTTTTGTGATGGTGACACATCAGGGGTGATACATTAACACCTGTACAGGAACGTGCGGACGTTTTGAGTTTCAGTCTGTTGACTGTCAACATGTACTGCTTGCAGCAAGCTACTATGTCAGTACCTATTATAAAATACAACTGAAAATGCCTAGTGTATTTGTTTTAGTAAACCTTTATTGAAAGTGGCCAAAGGAAATGCTGGAAACATTGGTTTAATGCTTGAACTGTTGTAATAAAAAGACTATAAGATGCTGTATTTCCTTCTGCTTTGTATGTACAGCGACTGGACAAATTGCCCACTAATTTACATTGTGCTTTAATGAATAGTACTCTATGCATGTTACTGTAAAAGCTGCAGACTGAGGTATTGGTTCACAGTGAAAGCAGTGGTGCTCGCTGGTATTATGAACTACACGGCTCATCTACTACAAAATTGTTTTGACTAAAATTGTAAGAGACGGTGCTCTTAGCAGCCTTATTGTAGTCAGCTCCTCCCCTGTTTGCCTCGCAGCCAGATGAAGTATTAAGTATAAGAAAATGTGTTGCATTATGATAATTATTCAATATAATCAAGTTGTCATTTTATAATATTGGGATTAAAATAAATATAAACAACGACATAGGAAATAGTACAAGAAACAATGGCTGCCTCTAAAGTTCTGTAAGTTATAGGCCTAAAGCTGTAACAAGTGATATGATTATAATCTTTATACATTTACAACATTTAAAGTCTTATAGATTACTGCACCAGTGAACTGATTTGGCTTTAGCTGACTTTTGTCCAGATGTAGTAGCCTACTAGTATGAATAGTAGGCTTATGTGACATTATGTGAAGTTCAAATATTAAAAAATGAAAAATGTATATTGCAGCTAAATAAAAAGCCTTGAATTGCCCAAAATGTAGGGGCCTTAAAACATGACTATGTGCTTATGCCCGATCGCCCTCTAGTGCACACAGCTGCAAAATCATGAGAAACAATCATCAGTCTAACTATTAAGGCAATAGTTATATAATCCTATATAATAGTTATATAATCCTATATAGGCTGATTTTATTTAAAATAAAACTACAGTGTTGCCCCCCAAAATCTATTTTGAAATATTGCTATTAAATAGCATTTTCAATTTTTCACTTTAATATACAAAAGGCAAATAAAGAAAAACGCCCTTTTTCTTATATTTAATCATATCAGTACCTTACAAAATAAGCCCTTTGATTTATTAAAAAATATAAACAAGAAATCTTTGAATGAGGGAAGTAGCATTATGTGGGTAATATGTTCATTGTCCCTTTTCTGTCTTGATGTGAAAATCGTCGAAACGGACGCTTGGAATTTTCACAATAAAAGCTCCGTTGCTCATAGAAGAAAAGCTCGTGGATGCATACTGCATGTCTGTGGCAGTGGCGGCTTTTATATATTACTGTACTTGTTGAACTGGTTACTAGAAAGAATGTCGACACAGACGTGCGAATGCGATTAGTTCCAGAAGATGGCGGTAATGCGACAGTGAGGACTCCGTGTGCTGCAAAACCCGAAACAAGAAGAAGAGAGAAGGAAGGTGAGGTTCTCCAGATCCTGCCAAACGGCTAAAGCGTGCTGCTAGCCTGTCGCAGGTTACGTGCTCTAACGGGGTTGGCACAATGGAGTTTCTTTCCCGTACTAATCTAGAGAGGGGGCTTTTCTGCATGCTTTGCACAGCTCTCCTCCTCCTCACATCTGCAGAAGAAGGCGATCATGGGAAATACTCCCAGTGTCACAACTACGCAGGAGGACACGTCTATCCTGGAGAGGCTTCCCGTGTCCCAGTGTCTGACCATTCCCTGCACCTCAGCAAAGCTAAGAGTGAGTTTCTCTCACGAATTCACCCATAGGTGGCAAAATTGTATATATTTAAAACGTGCAAGGAATTTGTTTCCCCTTGGCTGCCAAAGATCAGCTGCTGTAGTTTGTTTCAGCATGCTGGTCCTGCTGTTAAGGCAATAGGAGCAAACTTACAGTGTCTACTGCTTGTGCTGTTATCAGCTGATTGGCTGGGACCTTTCATTTAATTCTTAGGTGACAGTTTAACAGGTTAGTGTCACTTTCACATCAGGCCACCAGATGGTTTTTGTGGGACACGTCATTCCTATGAAATTGGTTGGATTATGTTCCTCCCTCCACCCCTCTGACACCATGGCGGTTCATGGCACAGCTCTAATACTGGTTAATACAGGTGGTTGGATAAAAGAGCACAAACAGATGCATGCATTAGACTCGTGTCCTGCATGAGGCCATATGTTATGCCTTGTTTCAGTCATATTAGTGACTTTTGTGGCCTTTTGTAATTCCTTTGTTATGTGTCATTATGAGTTTTGAGACTTTATCCCATGTCATCCCACAGTAGGATACCTAGTTTTTCAGTGTTTGTGGACCACCCACTGGTCCCTGTGCTGGTTCTACTAGTTAACTTGCCCAGTTGAGACAGACACTGCAAAATTATGCAATGCAGACACAGGAAACCTGCACTGGTTTAGAGATACTGCTACAGATCACTACTACAGTCTCACATAGTGCTGCAAATACAGAAAACACAAGCAAGTTAGCAGACTGTACATTTCAGCTCATTTTCCAATGCCACTAATTACCAAATTATGGAAACAACAAGCTGTCTCAGTCATGTCCATGGCTTTTTAGTGCCCCCATAAACCTTTCCATTGGTGCCTGTGCTACCTGCATCATTTCTGTATTTGCAGCTAGTTTTCAAAATGCTGATGTGTTGTCAAATTGATGAAATGCTTTTTTTTTATTTGCTTGTTTTGTTTATTTTTATATGTTTTCTTATGGTGAGGTGCATTGAACTCTCAGGGCCACTGTACCAAAGCTGTAATTGTTCCTTCAAAAAAAATAATTGGAACATTAAAAGACAATAAAAATATCCTTAGTTTTATGGTCATATACTAGCTTATGGCCTATATTTGAATGAAATCAGCATCACCCTAAAAGTGTGAAAATACTGAAGATTACAAGTCATTTGCAACATTTAAGAGCTAAAGCACTACTATGGTTCTTTTTCTCCCCCGCACATTTTCCTTAAATACTTGTGACATTTTGTAGCATGGATGTTTTCAAATAACAATTACACTACAGTAAATGTTTTGGGTCTTATGAATCCATTTTTTCCCCTAAGTTTCAAAGCCTGCACCACACTGGGAAGGGACAGCTGTCATTAATGGTGAATTCAAGGAGCTGAAGCTGTCGGACTACAGAGGCAAATATCTTGTCTTCTTCTTCTATCCTCTGGACTTGTGAGTAACATCTGAGACATACATAATCACTTGGTTTGTGTTGCTGCACGACAGAGTGCATTATGTAAACGTGTTTGCTCTGTTGCAGCACATTTGTCTGCCCTACTGAGATCATTGCATTCAGTGATCGTGTGCATGAGTTTCGTGCCATCAATACAGAGGTGGTTGCCTGTTCAGTGGACTCCCAGTTCACCCACCTGGCCTGGTAAGCACATTTCACCCACACAGTGCTACTGTGTCAATGCTGTAGAGAGCGCTGGTCTAAATATTCCTTTTTGGAAGAGGGTGAATCACTTAACCGTTTATTAACTGTACACTCAGAACATGGATTTGTTTTTCTCACATTTTTTTGTCATTAACAGGATCAATACTCCCAGGAAGCAGGGTGGACTTGGACAAATGAAAATCCCTCTGTTGTCTGACCTTACTCACCAGATTTCAAAAAACTATGGAGTCTACCTGGAGGACCAGGGGCACACACTAAGGTACAGGTTACAGTTTGTGATTTACATTTTATGACTATTTTCAGATTTTTATAGGGACCCAATATAGTGAAACATGCATTTAAAACTGGTATGTCACTCTGAGGTTCCTTAGGAGGGAATAAAAAGAAATAAGTTAGAAACGGGTATGAAAAACTAGTTTGGGAGAGATTAGTGATTATGCAATGAGGAAGAATGTGCTTCATAACATTGTTAGTGATAACTAAGTTGACATTTTGACCATGTATAGGTTCACCAGTGTTTCCGCTGGTAACATTTCTCAGTGGCACCCCATCACACCAAAATCTTTTCCACCATGGCAAAAAAATCAATCCAGCCAGTCAATCATTTAATTAGACACCTCAGTGACTCACCTGGGAAGCATGTAAAGCAACAGGGTAGGTCACATACACAGATGCAGTTAAGGCTATTTCAGATGGAACGCATTTTTAGACGCATGTCTCACACATGTGGTTGAGCCACGCATCACCCCTTTATGCTTCAGGTCTATTGTCCCTCACTTATTTTCTGTTGCAAACTTTTTTTTTTTCCTTTACTGGCATCTGTCATGATTACATACATAATGCCTACATGAAAACTTATCCAGCACCAGACCGTTTGTCTGTCCGCTGTCATTGTAGCTCATCAGGAGCTGATGACTGACGGCTACTCTGACACTGAACGTCGAACATTTCTCTTTCAGTCAGCCTGTGGTTATGTTGCTGAGTGAAACACTGACCAGCGAACTGCTGAGGACTTAGTTTTGCAACCGCTAAAAACACTTATATCATAACTACTACTGAAAGATTACTAGCCTATATTAATTACTATGATTATTAAGCATTTGTTCACCTCCATAGAGGGAACACAGATGCATACTAAAACCCCCAGCCACCCCCCTACCCCCTGCTCGAGGAACACTGCCGCCACACCAAACCTATTGATCCACGGGAAACACTGGGTTGACAGTGAGGAGCTAACAGTAAGTTGTGCTTGAATCTTACCTATCCGCATCTCTTTCAGGGGACTCTTCATCATTGACGACAAAGGTATTTTGAGGCAGATCACCATGAATGATCTTCCAGTGGGAAGATCTGTGGATGAGACTCTGCGGCTGGTGCAGGCCTTCCAGTACACTGACAAACACGGAGAAGGTACAAGGGTCTCTATCGAATAATTTGACATATCAGCTTTAATTTTTAGTTGCTGTTTTTTTCATGGTGATAACAGGGTAATGCAATGGTACTTGGAAACTAATAGCTGGTATTCAATGGATTCTTAGAGCTGTTTTTCTTAAAGTGCTGACTGGAATGATGTGATTTTTACAGTGTGCCCAGCAGGATGGAAGCCAGGCAGTGACACAGTGAGTATCTCAGAGGCTGAAACTGATTTGGAGCCTTGGTCACTAACTAGTATTGTCCTACGTTGATAACATTAAACCCTATCCATGATCTTCAATGGCAGGAGGTTTCACAATACGCTACATTGCTGGTAGCTACGTCTGATGTTTGTGCAAAATGGATGGGTGTTCACTGAGGGATCACACCTCAGAGAATTACGGAGAAAATTATGCTTTTTAAACAACCCAGATTTTTCATTGTGAAGTGGGAATCTAAGCAATAATTTGGATACACACATATAATAGAGGACTAGTTTGTTAACAGGGATTTACATTAGTCACAACCTGGTTCAAAGCATACTCTAGTCTGGAGTAATTTTTTATCACAAGTCATTATTGTGCACTAATTTGATGAATTCTTTCCCACAGATTATTCCCGACCCTTCAGGCAAGCTGAAGTATTTTGATAAACTGAACTGATTTACTGTACGTTTCTGTTTTCCCAGTCTGTGAAATGCACCACTTACAGAAAGTACAAATAAAATGTTTTCATAAAATGTTGCATGTCTGGTCTTTTACGTTCAGCTGGCATGAATGACTCCCGTTGACTGTAAAAATTTCAGACAAGATAACAGTTCCTAGAAGTGAAGCCACTGCCAATCGATCACTCCTGGCGGCTGGTTGCCGTAAAGGTCAGGAATCCTGCCTCCTCCTTGTGTTAGTGGATGGAACGTGAGCCAAACTAAAGACTCAAAAGTACAAATCGGTTTTTCCCAAGAGGTGATTTCTGTCATTTTTGGTAGATGTTATCATGCTGATATGTGTACAAGTGGTTATTTTTATGGTATATTTGTTTGTAATAAGTTATTATATAAAAAGGGCTGTATTTCTGTTCATTTGAAAGCTTTGGTGGTCCAGTGCTGTTACTTCATTTCTCCTCACTACTGAGCAGACTCTGGTTACAGATAATATTTTGGATGCATTGGGGGGGAAGTGGTGATGCCATGTCCATCATATACACAGTCAGCAGTGACAAAGCAGAGTGGCAGTTTTAGTTCAGTTGATACTGGTTTTTTTCCAGTTTCAAAACTTGCATCACACAGGAAAAGAACATATGTCATTGATGCTCAGTGGCAACAACTGGTTACAAAGAGTTGATGAAATATCAGACTTGTCTCAGTACTTGTTATGGGGGTCATGGTGTCTGCTTTGAACTTAGTAGAATGTAAATGTGTGGTGGACACAGCATACACATACTGTAAGATATTGAAAAATTAGCCCCAGCACGGTCAGGCAAGCCTTTCCTTAGACACTGACTCAAATGATTAAATACATTTGTACTGGTAATGATCTGGGAACAAATGGCAAACTCTGAGAAAACGCAGTCTGTTAAAATCACATCCCTGCTTTGTCCTAAATAATAATGGTAGAGAAAAAAGTAATAATAGTGCAGAACAGGTCAAACAACATGTCAGTGTTGATGTTTTGCATCTTGTGCAATACTGTTTTTGTTTTGGACATGATCTAATGCAAAGTTTAAAAGTCCTGCACACTGAGTAAACAAGGAATGGCATGACTGAGTTAAAAATGCTCCTGAACAGGTTTACCAAACACAGTGGCATAAAGCCTGTATAAAAGGTGAATATTGAAAACTAGACACCAGTTACATTTGGTGTCACTGAATAGAGTGGTACTTTATTCTAGCATAATAAATGTTAAATCATTTGAGTAGACCAGACAGTCAAAGGTCAATATGTTTATGACTGTCACAGGATGACAAGATATCACCTTCTGACATGATCATTTTGTTTTTATCCATATGGCACTGGCATTCCATTTGGAGCACAAAGTCGGAACACATTTGACTAGAAGATGTTTCCAAAATTTTAACTTGGCACAGCCTTGTAGCTACCACATTAAGAGTTAATCTACCGTTTGTTGGAACATCAGTAAAAGATAAACTGTTGTCATCTCAGCAATGCAAATGCTTTTTTGGAGCAGAAGCACACGTGGCCTCTCTGAAGAACAGCTGGTTTAGGGTTAAATGTTTTTGTGGACTATTCTGTACTGAGCTCTGCAGACATTATTGCAGTGTTTTTGTCCAGGCCTGGTTAATATTTACCGTTTAAACCACATTCAAATGGATGTCCAGTGATCAACACAAAGATAAAGAGTGTACAGAAAGGGCAGAGAGGCGGGATGTCCATATAAGGATTACTGAACAGGTTCACCTCCTCCAGAGACACATATAAAAGAAGCTCCTGAAGATTTGCTACCATTTTGTGCACAGTGAATGCTGTTTTCTAAAATTCCTGTCGGGGGGTAAACTCCTGAGGGGGCGGATGAAGAAACAAATTTTGCTTTTATTCACATTCAGAGGACTTGTAAGCAAAGGGAAAAGGGGTAAAAAGAGAAAATGGCCAGGTTTATATTACGGACAGCTGAACCCAAGGATGTGTCCGATATCCTGCGGCTCATAAAGGTAAGCCAAATGTTAAAGAGTAATATTTTGACAACAAATAGGACATTTTGACTAATTGATTTAATCTGTTTTCTCTGTTTTACTATTCCTAATTGTAGTTCCAGTTAAAAGCATAAATAGCTGTCCTTGTTTGTTTCTTGTTGCCTTTTAGGAACTTGCTAAATATGAAGAGATGGAGGAGAGGGTCATGCTGACTGAGAAAGGTGCTTCAGTGCGGTCCGCATTATGTCAGATTTTAAGCATACATTTTATACATATAAATGCGTGTTTTAACACACTGTCCTAAAGTCCGTTTTCCATTTGCAGATCTTCTTGAAGACGGCTTCGGGGACCATCCATTCTACCACTGCTTGGTTGCTGAAGTCCCCAAGGAGCAGAGCTCAGAAGGTAAAAACATATCTCTAACACATAACTTCACAATTTAACTGTCATATTTTTCCCCTTTACTTTAAATTCAACCCCTAACTCGTGGTGTTTTCATTTAGGGTACACTGTAATTGCCTTTGCTATGTACTACTACACATATGATCCATGGATTGGAAAGCTTTTGTACTTGGAAGACTTTTTTGTCATGCAGGAGTTTCGTGGTAAGTTTACTGACAAGTGCTGTTATATGGTGATGGTAAAGGTTAATAAGTTACCAAGAAGTGGTAG